CCGTCACCGAGCAATAAATCTACCACCAGAACCTGGGCTATTCGAAAACTTCGGTTCCCATGCCCCTGAATCCCTGTGAATCCCCTTGAACATTACCTGAATTGAAGGTACTCAAAATGGTTGCCGTACCGCAGGCCTTCTAGGTCGCTGTAGGTCATGTCTACGGACCGTCGCGTGCCCGCAAAGCGGAGATTGTCTGTTTCCGCGGGATTTGGCGCCCTAAAGTCCTTTAAAGTCCCTAAAAAATCATTGGATAAATGTAAGCAAATATTTTTCTTATTATTGAAACAGTTTTGCTGTGTGTATTTACATTTAACTTAACGAAAGCCATGGATATTATCCCCTCGTGGATGGTAGTTGCGCCTAGGTGACACTTTTGCTTGTACTTATTCAGCCAGGTTTCCCTTCCAAAACTGTTATGCAATTTTGTGGTGTATATGATGTACAATGAAAGCCTAATTACATTTCTTGATCGTTTTTGTGACTACACATGCTTCGTGGTAGAAAGGCCTTTCTAGTGTCAGATGCAGTCGTCCAATAGTTGAAACGGGATATAAAGTAGCCGTTAAGGCAAAAACAAAAGCAGTTTTGTTACCATCAAGTTATAGAACCCTGAAGCTCAGGGTTAATTAACTCTAAGGGATATTCTTGGACCCTTCGTCAACCCCGTACGACACCAGTTCAGTTCAGTTTGCACGCGACAGACTGGCCACGGCCATTGGAGCGTCCAGAATTCATTTGGTGGTATACGGTCAATTATGTCACCCACCACTACGAAGAGTAATCTTTTACTTCTTTGCTGAAAAGAGGAAGAAAAGGTAAAAATACCTCATCTCACCTCAGCTAACATTTTACCTAACAGCAGCGGTTCAAGGTACTGGATACACATCCATATAAATCCTTGTTCTACGTAGGTTTGATATTATAACCTCAGTCAATTCCTTCTATTTAAAACAAACAGGATTATCGTAACGTTTGAAGAATTTGATGGTATTGAATGAGTTTCCAAAAAGAAACGATGGTTAATTTGATTATAGAAGTAACTCAACGCGCAGAATCCCAAACCACCATAATATGACAAACTCGAGTTATGCAATCTACATCAACATGATAGCAATCTGAAATAATGGATTACCTGACGTGTGAACTGAGGTGAAATTCAGTAGTCCTCGCAAGTTCTGGGACCCGATTTGGCACCATATATATGACAACTGTAATGGTGACCACATTTGGGGGCTCTACATTGCGACTTTAATCGTTCATGCTTAGTAAAATGGAAAATTTTCCGGATCTAATGATATCTCAATTTTTAGAGTAAAATATGTTCACTGTTTCTCACTTCACCTGAATTAAGACTAGCCACATCTCTGGGATGTGCTCCATAGTGTTTATTAGTCGTTTTTGCTTTGTCACTGGTGGGTTCCTCTCATCTCCAATGAGAGTGGGATATCGTTAGATCGGAAAAATACTCCATTTTACTAATCATGGACAACTTAAGTCAGTGTGACACCCCACCTGTATATATATATATATATATATATATATATATGTATATCACATGAATCCAGACTGTGTTGTAAACAAATTGCAGTACAATAATACTCATAATTAGGCTCCATGATTTGTTTGTAGGAGGATTACCACCAGATGGTAGGTAGCTT